AGTTGGGTGAATGCTCTTTGTATTCCACCAAATGAAATGAAAAAAAAAGAGTACAAATAAGGTGGGAAATACATCTATTTATAATTAAATCCCCTTACAATGGGTGACTAAGATCAATCTAGATAAATGATTAAGATGAGCCTTATTAATTACAAATCTTTCTATCTAAAGAAACTCAATTGAATTAGCATCCATACAAATCAATTAGTCTCATTCTTTCCTTTGATTGAAGATCTCCTTGGATATAGAAAGATTCCTTCATAATCCTCTTTGATATGATATCATTCCCTGCCATATTTACAAAGTTTTTATGATCTTCTTACTTTTCATATTTATGGGTTCAATTTGAACGGACTCTTTAATTATCTCCATGAATTAGAGCAAATTTGATAAATTAATCACATCTAACACCTTATTTAAAACATCTATCCCAGTCTCAAATGTACATACCTCGGGACTACTATATAGGGTGTTGGGATTTTCGGAAGCTCAATTCAACAACCGGAACGGTTTGTAAGGAGGGGTCGGATTGAGTTTAGGGAGTAAGGATATTGAAAGATAGAAAATTGCACAGTGATTTAGAGTGGTTCAACTTTCTAAACCAAAGTCTACGTCCACTACTTTAGCTCCTCACCAAGGATTTTCCAACAAATTCACTGATTTGTTCTTTCTTTTGAGGACAAAGAGATAACCTTACAACTCCCTAGTTTTTTCAGGCTAAACTATAACCTTTCCCTAGCTTTTACACGGATAAGCTAGAACCTTTCCCCTTTACAAAAGGATAAAATAATAAACAAGAAAACCTCTCTGAGGTAGGTGTTTACAAGATTGAGCTCACAAGAACAAAATATTTACAAGAGAAAGTTGAAAAAATAATGAAAAACTCTTCTCTTGTGTTTAATTGCTTGGATAGATGTTCTCTTATTCTTCAAGTGTCCTTAGCTTGTATTTATACCTTGGAATGTGTTTGATGTTGTATATAGCCGTTAGGGATGTTTTGGAGCCGTTTGGGGATGATTTTTCTACTCAAAAAGGCTTTTCATAACATGGTGCATCGGTGCACTATCATGGTGCATCGATACCCCTTCATTAAATTCAAATAAACTAGCCGTTACTAGTTGTTGCATCCTTCGTGCATGGATGCACATCAGGATGCATCGATGCACATCAGGATGCATCAATGCACTAAGTGCATTCGAAATGGAGTGCATGGATGCACTGCATGGTGCATCGATGCACTAGTGCAGGTGTATGGATGCACTGCATGGTGCATCGATGCACTAGTGCAGGTGCATGGATGCACTGCAGGGGTGCATGGATGCACTTTGACATCCTTTAGCATTTTTGCTCAAATCCGAATTTAATGACTTTGAATTATTTTTGAAACCTTTTAAAAAATTTGAATAAATTCAATTGAAGTCCAAAAACATTTTGCCTTAAATTTGTTATATCAAAACATAATTCAACAATCTCCCCCTTTTTGATATAACAAAACATTTGAAAAATTGTTTTTGGCAAAACTCCCCTTAAAAAATGTTTAATGAAAAAGATACCAATTGGTAACAAGTACCAATTGTTTGAAAATATATGAAAATGTTGCTCCCCCTTTTTCATTAAGAAATTGAATTTTTCAAACCAAAAACTTCTCCCCCTTTTTGTTATATCAAAAATAATTCAATCTTTGAAGTTCAAAATAACTTTGGGGAGTAAGTAGTAAATTTGACATTTTAAAACTTATTTGAAAAATCAAAGCTCCCCCTCAATAAATGCATTCCTAACAAAAAAAGCTTTTAGGATCATGACACTTAAACAAAATTGAATTTCAACAAAGAATAAAAAACATGTTAGTAATACATGAAATTCAATATATCCAAGTCTAAAATACTTTATGCAATATTAATTATTGAAATTAAGTGCATATGCATAAAGTTTTCCAAAAATGTTATTCATTTGAAAATTTTGATATCAATTGTTAGAGAGATATTATTTAAATCACATGCATAAACAATTAAATTTAGATCAAAAACAATTAAAATTTGTAAAATCAAAGTTTTTGAAAAATTGATATCAATTGTTAGAGAGATATCATTTGCATTAAACCAATTCTGACCAAAATTTTATTATGATGAACTAAAAAAATTTATTAAAAATTTAAAATTTTCATCATAACCATTTTTTTAAACATACATGAGATTAAAAACAATGCATAATCATTTAAAATCAAAACTCATGCATGCATAAATCATATGAGCAACCAAATAACTAAAATTAAAAACATTAAGCTTAGAGGTTACCAATTCCTTTTCATGTGTGGCTAGAGCATCTTGAATATCACCATTTTCATCATCATTGCTCCCACACACCTACAAGAGACATTCATTTCGATTTTGGTATCCAAATTGCTTTGGATCCTTGGATGTTAGTTTCAATGCCCCTTGTTCCCTTAGGAACCCATACTTGTCTAATTTTAAAATGTTTTCCTTTCTTTAAAGGACAAGTATGTCCCAAATGACCATAAAAATGACAATGTGAGCATTTTGCCATTTTTAAACATAATAGGTTATTTTTAGAAATTAATTCTTTTTATTTTGTTAAGCCTTCAAGCTTAACTCCTAACTCAAAATTTTCTTTTTCTAAATCATTTATTTTGATTTTTGAAAGCTCTAAATTATTTTTTAAAATTTCATTTTGATTTTCAAAATCAACTTTTTCTTTCAAAATCAAATTATCTTTAATTTTGAGTTTTGAAATTAATTTTGTATATTTGGAATTCATGGTCTCAAATTCCAAATACAACCTATTATAAGCATCTTGTAACTCATCAAAAGTAAATAAATTAAATTCATTTGAGTTAGAAGATACCTCGAATTCTTCTTGAGTGGTCATGAGGCATAGGTTGACTACTTCATCTTCATCATTGGAATCATCTTCATCACTCCAAGATGCAACAAATGCCTTCTTCCCCTTTTTCTTTAGAAGAGGGCATTCATACTTGACATGCCCCTTTCTTTGACAATTGAAACATATCGGGGGACTCTTCTTCTTGGTTGATTCATGTTTCACTTCCTTGGAAATCATCAATCTCTTGAGTTCTTTCAAGAGCTTGACCATCTCTTCTTCTTGTTCATCATCGTCTTCATCCACCTCATCACTTGAATCTTGATAGCTTTCATTGGTGGATTTGAAGGCAATGCCTACCTCCTTCTTCTTCTTGTTTTTCTTCTCTTCCCTTTCTTCATATTCTTTCACCATCATCTCATGAGTGAGAAGGGAACCAATTAGCTCGTCGAGAGTGAGAGACTTTAAGTTTCTTGCTTCGATAATGGTTGTCTTCTTCGATTGCCACTCCTTTGGAAGAGAGTAGATCATCTTCCTCATAAGCTTCTCATTAGGGATTACTTCTTCATATCCCTTAAGATCGTTGACAATCACATAAAATCTATCCGTCATAGTTTTGATGTCTTCATCGGATTTCATCTTGAAGTTCTCGTAGCTATGGTTGAGAAGACTTTTCTTTGATTCACTCACTTCGTCGATTCCTTCATGAGTAACTTGGAGCTTATCCCAAATCTCTTTGGCACTGGAACAAGATGAGATTATTCTATATTCATTTGGGCCTAAAGCACATAATAGAATATGTATAGCCTTAGAGTTAAGCTGGAAATTTTTCTGCTCTTCTCTTCTCCAATCGTTGTTCTTGTCGGGTGGAGAGGAGTAACCGTCCATGATTGAGTTCCAAGCTCCTATATTGTAGGATTGAATAAAGTACATCATCTTATTATTCCAATGTGCATAATTTGCTCCATTAAAGAAGAGTGGCTTGTTGACAGGTTGTGAATCCATAATGGGATATTCTTCAAGATAATAAGCACCGGAGGAAAAAGTCATTTCTTTATCGGTTGCGTCGTAAATTGGTAGAGCTTCATCGAGGATCGTCTCAAGGTGATTAAACCTTCTTAACGAGTTAGGCTCTGATATCAATTGTTGGGATTTTCGGAAGCTTGATTCGATAACTGGATGGTTTGCAAAAAGGGGTCGGAACGGTTTTTGAGTTTAGGGAGTAAGGAGATTGAAAGATAGAAAATTGCACAACGATTTAGAGTGGTTGGACTTTCTAAACCAAAGTCTACGTCCACTACCTTAGCTCAACACCAATGATTTTCTAACAAATTCACTAATTTGTTCTTTCTTTTGAAGACAAAGAGATAACCTTACAACTCCCTAGTTTTTTCGGGCTAAACTAGAACCTTTCCCTAACTTTTACACGAGATAAGCTAGAACTTTTCCCCTTTATAAAGGATAAAATAAGTAAACAAGAAAACCTCTCTAAGGTAGGTGTTTACAAGATTGAGCTCACAAGAATAAAATATTTACAAGAGAAAGTTGAAAAAATAATGAAAAACTCTTCTCTTGTGTTTGATTGCTTGGATAGTTGTTCTCTCTATTATTCAAGTGTCCTTAGCTTGTATTTATAGTTTGGAATGTGTTTGATGTTGTATATAGCCGTTGGGGATGTTTTAGAGCCGTTTGGGGATGATTTTTCTACTCAAAAAGGTTGCCCATAACATGGTGCATCGGTGCACTATCATGGTACATCGGTGCACTATCATGGTGCATCGATATCCCTTTATTAAATTCAAATAAACTAACCGTTACTAGCCGTTGCAGCCTTCGTGCATGGATGCACATCAAGATGCATCGATGCACAGCAGGATGCATCGATGCACTAAGTACATTTGAAATGGAGTACATGGATGCACTGCATGGTGCATCGATGCACTAGTACAATTGTATGGATGCATTGTAGGGGTGCATGGATGCACTTTGACACCCTTTACCATTTTTGCTCAAATCCGAATTTAATGAACTTTCAATTATTTTCAAAACTTTTTAAAAATTTTGAATAAATTAAATTAAAGTCTAAAAATATTTTACTTTAAATATATTATAACAAAACATAATTTAATATAGGAGTATGACATTATTATGTGGCAATACAAACTAAACCCTCCTCACGCGCTTTCACTTGGCGCACTCTTTCCAAAGCTGAAAAAGCAGCAGAAACTCGCAGTTCATTCATTAACTCAATGTAGACGCCCCTTTCGGTCTTCTCCGTTCCACTCCTTAGCTTCTGAAAATCTCAATTCAATTCTCCCCGGTTCAGTCCTTTCTGGTACGATCCTCTCTCCCTCTTGCGTGTTTGCCTATTTTTTTTTTCATTCGTGTATATCCTAATTGTTGTTTTAGGTTTTTTTTTAATCTGCTGCTTTTAGATTGAATTTTGTATTTTTGGGGTGTTCGTTGAGTGAGGTTGGGTGGTTTTGTGTTTCACAAGTTTCATTTTGATTTTTTAATCTTAGTCAACGATTCCACTTGTGCGGCTCGGGGGTATAGAGTTTTGTGTTGATCGAGGAACTGAGTGTATTTGCCTAGATACTGATTGATCTGAACTGCGGCAATTTCGATAGATTTTTTTAAAGATTCTATATATTTGAGCTTGTTTTACAAATGGGGTTTTTTCCTCTTCGAATTTCATTGAAGAGGAAATCAAGAAAGAGAACTAATACGATTTAGATAAAAATGTGAGCTAAAGAAATGTAATGGTCATCTTCGGATTTGTCACCACTCTTTCATTTTATAGGGATTTTTCATTGAAATGGTCACCGTCTTTTTTTTATAGGGGTGGGTGGGTGCCGCTGGCGTGGGGGCTTTGGGGTAGGCGGAGGCGGGGTGTTTACTGTGGTCAAAAAATTAGTTCTTGAAACAAAGTTAATTTCCTTTTCTCCCAATACTGAAGCCGTTACTAATGTTATGTTGGTTAAGATTATTGAGGAATTTTGATTTCCCTGTCTCCTCTTTTTCTGAACGAAATTGTAAATGTGCAATTGACTATATACCGTTTAAACTGAATTCTGCTCTTAATTTCAGGTTTGTCATGAGAAAGTGTTCATGGCCTTTGTTTGGTTGAGGCTTGAGTGTTCAATTCATTAATAAATTAGAAAGAAAATAGATGCAAAGAGTTTGGAAAAATTTGCATTTAACCTTGTTGCACTGATGTGTAGTTTAAGGGTTATAATATGAGAGTGCAAGTGATTCCAGATGTCGGCCATAATGCATCTAAACTAACGTTACATAAATCGCTCAATAGCCTACGATCTATTTACTGTACGCTGCGATCCAAAACGCGGTACGAACGCGTTCTAGGTCGTTCCAAAATCGTGATTCGGTACGAAAGCTTATACCATTCGGTACGAACGCGTTCCAGGTCGTTCCAAAATCGTCGGAGACGAAAAAAGTTGAAGATTTCTTTGTAGATCTACGTTGATAGACCCATTTTTAGGCGAAACTAACCTTGGATCTAAAACAAGGGTGAGGAAACGCTTCGGGTGACATCTCTCTTTTAATTTCGATGCTGGCGTACGGTGGCGGCCGATGATGACGCGGCGGAAAACCCACCGGAATTTGGGCGCCGGTTGTATCTCCCCCCTCTCTCTCTCTCTCTCTCTCTCTCTCTCTCAAAACTGAGAAATGAAACAAAATGAAAATCAGCCCGTTTTGGCTTATATGATTACATATATATATTAAGCAAAACGCAATCGTTTTGGCTTTTCCCCATTTCCTTGTTTTTGGTTAAGGGTAAATATCTGTTTAAATCCCTGTTTTTTTTATGTGTTATTTCAGTTATTAAGGAAGTTTTAATTTCTTTTATTTTATTCCTAATATTTATAGTTACTTATAAAATTTGATATAGAAAAATAGCAACCTAAGAAATTGGTACATCGTACTGGAGCGATCTTAAATGAGTCTACCCCCTTGTACCGAATTTTAGGGACCTAGCGAATTGTGATCCTGTTTCACGTTCCCGTACCGGAGCGTACCGCGATCCATGTGACTATGATCTAAACAGTCTTGTTTATATCAGTTATATTGTGCTGGCAAATAATTTTCGTTTCTTTCTTTTAAATTTGTTGTGTGAATGGAAGTTTATAATTTTTGTGGATGTTGGTTGTTATAGTCCCTTTGTATTTCAGAATTATACTTTTATTATATATGTTTATCTTTTCATTTATATTCAAATCCAGAAGGGATAAGATCATAAGATATCTCGGTATATTTTCTGATTTAGTTGCATTTTCATTCTCAGGAAACAGGAATTGTTAATTTATGCATCTTACGGTGGCAAATAATTTAAGTTGATCATTGGAACTTGACAAATACAAGGCACAAAAGTGCCCATTGTTTCAGTGCTGTTAAGAAGTGGTACATGAAGCTGATAACCTTGTTTTAGATTTCCATTCTTACATCATTTCCAGCTGTGTTGGTGAACTTAGATGGGTGTTTCCTCTTTGGAACTGCATTCTGAAAATATAGCTGATACCTGTCAATTGTTAATGGCGCGATCAGACAACTTAAGTGAACATGTTATTGACATACCAAGGAGTGGTGATGCTTCCTCATCAAACTTGTCTCATGAAACAACTTCAAATGGTTTGGATGTCTTACAGCGTGATGACATACCGTCTAGTAGTACAAGAGCGCTAGTTTCTGAACCTCCAACATCTTCTTCCAATGTTATGAACTCAAGAACTTCATCTGCCATAGGGAGAGGGACTGCCCGTCGTCGTCGGAGTCCATTGAATTCTGGTTTGTGGATTTCTATTGAACTGGTTCTTACAGTGAGCCATATTGTGGCATCTATTATTGTCCTGGCTTTGTCAAGGAATGAGCATCCCCGTAAACCGTTGTTTGTGTGGATTGTGGGTTATGCATCTGGATGTGTAACAGCCGTACCTCTTCTGTATTGGCGTTACTGGCACCGTAACCAGGTTTTTGAGCAAGACTCAGCTCAACATCGCAACACTTCACGTATTAATGTCCCTGCTGGACCCTTTTCGCTCTCAGTTACTAGGACTTCTGATGGGGGTGATCAGCATACTGCAACTACATCTCCTAGAGGTGGTCAAAATGCAGTAGTAACAAGTGCAAGGTACGGTTTTCTTATTGATAATTTGAAATGAGACATACAAAGTACAATTTAGTTGCCGATCTACTGGTCTTTATCCTGTAGAGTTAAAGCGCTAGTTGAATACTTCAAAATGGCTTTAGATTGCTTCTTTGCTGTTTGGTTTGTGGTTGGCAATGTCTGGATCTTTGGTGGGCATTCATCTGCTAGTGAGGCTCCTAACATGTACAGGTAGTGGGCCTAGTGGCATTTTTTGCTTTCATCTTTTAATTTGTACTTTTCCAAGAGTTCCTTTTTCTGCTTTGCAGGTTATGTATAGTTTTTCTTACGTTTAGCTATATTGGATATGCAATGCCCTTCATTATATGTGCCACGATCTGCTGTTGTCTGCCTTGTATAATCTCTGTCCTTGGATTTAGAGAGGATCTATCGCAGACTAGAGGTGCCACATCCGAATCCATAAATGCTTTACCTACTTACAAGTTCAAGGCAAATAAAAGTAGAAATGATGGTAGGGAAATAAGCTCGGGTGCCGGCGAGGGTGGAGTTGTGGCTGCTGGAACTGAAAAGGAGCGCATCATCTCCGGAGAGGATGCAGTGAGTCTTTCTTTTGATTATTGTTTACAGAATTCAGTTGTATGTCTCACAGATCTCTCATATACATATTTTCAGTTGGAATTTATGATTGAAGACCTCACAAATGATATTTTAGCATATTAAGTTTTATCTAGCATGTTTTATTCTTACGTTCTTCTACTATTTTCTGCCCATCATATTATTTGGTTCTGAATCTGCTCAGCTTTGTAAGTTGCCGTTATCACTTTACTATATGAGCTCCCGGATGACCAATAAGATTATGCACTCTGTTTCTGTGATTAACATAAGTTGTGATGAATATGCAGCACTGGTAAATTTGCTTGGGAATGGTTCATGAAACATTATAGTCTGCTGATTTGGTTTTTTATGAGTCTTTTTGTCGTCCGATACATACTGATACAATCGCACCACTGAGATTGTGTAGATCTGCTGCATTTGTTTGGCAAAATACGCAAACAATGATGAACTGAGGGAGTTGCCGTGTTCTCATTTTATGCACAAGGAATGTGTGGACAAGTGGCTTAAGATCAACGCTTCCTGCCCTCTTTGCAAGAGCGAGTTACGGGACACAATCTCGGGCACAAGTGCCACCATCTTAAGTTCTCTCTCTGGAGCAAACGATAACCAGCGACGAGGTGAGGCAAGGACCGGTAACAGTTCTACCAATTCCGCGTTTTAGTTCAATAATGATAGTGTAATGAAGATAGGGTAGAAGTATAATATATTGATCCTTTGGACGTGCAAGAAATCTGTCATCTGTCATCTGTTAAGGGTGATTGCATGAATCGAAATGAAATTTGATTAGTGGCTGAAATGATAGAAGAGATATATAAAATATTGCAGAATTTGCAAGAATTTTTTCAGGTTTTTGTATGTTTAATTTCAATGTAATGAAAATTTTATAAATTTGATGGGATATTCAAAGCAATTAGGTAATTATTTCAAATTCGAGATTCATTCAAGGGATTCGATTCAATTCTTGGAACAAATGAATTAGAAAACAAATTAAGAGATGAAGGCTTCTCTGTTAATAAGATTTATGGAAAAAGTAGTCCTTTTATATATAAAAATGTCATTTGGTTTTAAATTACATAACAGTGACAATAGTTCAAGAAGTAAACCACATAAACATACGTTAAGGAATTGAAAAAAAATAAAAATTACCCGGTAAACTAAAAATGAAGTTTTTACAAATAATTTTGGGTGGATTTGGGTTTTAAAATGTGATCCATTTAGGTAAGACCGCTTAATCAGTGTTAGGCACGACTAGGGCTGTAAATGAGACGAGACAGATCGCGAGCTACTCGAGATCAACTCGATCAAGGCTCAATAAATAATCGGATCAAATGGACTCGACTTGAGCTCGACTCGATTTCTTAACGAGCCGAAACGAGCTACTCGATATTCGACTCGAAAAGCTCGTGAGCAGCTCGAAAAAAAATGTTATATTATAATTTTATATTTTTTAAAATTACATTATTAAAAATACATTATTGATAATTATAAAATTTTAAAAATATATTAAAAATTCAATAATACAACTAAGACATCTCATCCCTTATAATTATGTGATAGGATTTATGGTTTAGTGTTTAGGGTTTATAGTTTAGGGTTTATGGTTTATAGTTAGGGTTTATGGTTTAGTATTTAGTGTTTAGGGATTATGGTTTAAGGTTTAGAGTTTAGAGTTTAAAGTTTAAGGTTTAGGATTTAGTGTTTAGGGTTTAGGGTTTAAGTTATGCACATGAAGCTAACATACAAATTATGCAAAATGATGTTATGTGATATGGTACTAAAAGAAAAATAAAAGTCCATTTAATTAAGCACATGTTAGATTACACCCTAAACCATAAATTCTAAACCCTAAACACTAAATCCTTAACCCGATTATGTGATAGGGGTTAAGTTATGAAGGTAACATACAAATTATGCAAAATGAAATTAATGAAATTAACAAGGGTTTATATGTAAATAAACTAATAAATCACACTTGGTCAAATCAATTAATAGGTCCTTTATCAAAACAAACGGTGATCAAAACATAAAATAAAAATAAATTAGCAACCCAAATGATAAAAACGTAAACCTTGATTAATGACGAAATCAGAAGATTACAAATATAACATGTCCTAAACTGGTAATACTCCATTTCTAAAACACGGGCTTGAATACCTGTCCACTGTCCAAGTTTCTTTGGTTTTATTTTTCTCTCTTCAACTCTCTGTTTTGTGTATCCTCAAGTTTTCTGCAACAAACATGGGGGCTCTCGATTATATTTCAAACTTTTGCATCGTCTCCGAAAGGAGGAGTAAACGCAAGCCAATGCAGGTACCTTTCTTCTTCTTCTTCTTTGAATCAACAATTCAAGAAATCACCTGCAAAACTCCACTTTCCTACTAATTCTGTCAAAATTTCTCAGAGGGGCCAACTGAAAGTTCCTTATTCTTATTATGAGCCTACAATGTACTTTCAGTACATTTTCTAAACTAGAGCCTGTTTTCTACTATCAGATTCGAATACTCAGACGTCACCAGACTCATCAGAAATGAAAATGGAAAAGAAGTTCGGCCAGTCCCCTGTTTTCGTTGCTTCCACTCTTCTGGAGAATGGTAGGCTTCCTCAGAATGCAAGCCCTGCGTCATTACTGAGTGAAGCTATTCAAGTCATAAGTTGTGGTTATGAAGATAAAACTGAATGGGGGAAGGAAGTAAGTGAAACCTTGAAATAAATCCAAGTTCTTAATCTAGGCAAGTTGTAATTTTATTAACATCTGGTAATCCTAAAAATTTCAACTTGCAACACAGGCCGGCTTGATATATGGCTCGGTGACTGAGGATATCCTAACTGGATTCAAGAACGAGCATGAGTTTTGTTGCAGAGCTTTCACAAAAGCAATCATGCTCCCTAAAGATCGATGATATTCTTTTCTTCAAAGCTTGATAATGTGACCATTTTATGTGCACAGGCAATGATGTTCTGTTGGTTGTAAATAAGATGTTGGAATCAACAAAAACAAGCTGCAGTGATTATTTATCTTCCTTAACCCATGAAGTTATAGCAGAAGAAAAATGGAGAAAAGTCAATCCCCAACCGGTTGTTTTCTATTTCAGGGCCAGTAAGTTGAAATGGGTTGACTGCCTAACATCCCACATCATAAAGATTTAAAGAAACAAGACGAGAAACAGCTTATAAAAAAAGTGGGATTGACTCGGAAAAATTTACTTTTTGAGCTCAAAATTTGAGCTCTAATTGAGTTTAAATTCGAGTTTAATCGAGTCTTGAGTTATTTTTGAGTTTGAATTTTTTTTAAGTTTTAGTTAGGTTTTAATATTATTTTGAGTTTTTAAGTTTAAATTTTCGAGTCGAGTTAACATTTAAAATTTTAGAATTTGAGTTAAGTTTAATAATATTTGAGTTTGATTCGGTTTGTTTAAACCCTACGACCTGGTTTACGTACAACCAAAACAGGTGGGCTGAAAAGCTCAGTCAGCCGAATGGTACATGCGTCAATCTATTAATCCGTTTGTAGAATGTAGTAGCACTTCACTTTCATCTCAAAGAAAAAGAAATAATAATAATTGGTTAAACTACATAAATAGCCACCTAACTAGACTTGGTCTTAAATGACCATTTGTGTTAATATGATCATTAAATTATTTAAATGATCTCAGTATAACTACCTTTCATTAAAATGTGTTTACATTGTAGTTAATAAAATTGATATAATTAGAGTGCAAAGAGTTTTAATATTATTTTGCTTTTTTAATATTATTTTGAGTTTGAGTTGAGTTTGAAAATATTAAGTTCACGAATTTTTGAGTCGAGTTTATATTTAAAATTTTTAAATTCGAGTCGAATTCAACAATACTTGAGTTTGACTTTACTCGTTTACACCTACGACCTGGTTTACGTACAACCAAAACAGGTGGGCTGAAAAGCTCAGTCAGCCGAATGGTACATGCGTCAATCTATTAATCCGTTTGTAGAATGTAGTAGCAGTTCACTTTCATCTCAAAGAAAAAGAAATAATAATAATTGGGTAAACTACATAAATAGCCACCTAACTAGATTTTCGAAATGACCATCATTTTTAAATTTGTGTTAATATGACCATTAAATTATTTAAATGGTCTCAATATAGCTACCTTTCATTAAGAAGTGTTTACATGGTAGTTAATAAAATTGATATAATTAGAGTGCAATTCCTTGTAAAGCTACGCATTCACGACGTTAGAACCTTGCTTTGTTTTCTTCTATTTTGGCCACTACTTGTATAGGATTTGTTTTCTTATATTTTCATTTAATGCAATTTGATCATGGTTCCATTTTTAATTTGTCTAATGCTTTAATTTGAGCATTAAATTTAAAATATTTTATTCTAGTCATGTATTAAATTTATAGATTAAATCCTCTAGATTTTAGAAATAAAAATAGACAAGTGAGGACTTAAATCTAGGCCAATTGAGAATATGATAACACTTAAATTGCTAAAAAAATATAATATATTATTTATAATTAATTTAAGAGTTTAATATTTTTTTAATTAAACTTATTTATTTATATTTATTAATTAATGATTATATATCTATAATTATATTTAAAATAAAATTAAAATTTTATTTAACATATCCGAACTCACTAGCAAAATTTAAAATCAAAAGATAATTTTATAATTTGAGTCTTAAATATTTTTTTTATGATTATAATTTGAATATTAAATTACTTTTTAATGATTTTATATACATATATAATCACTAAAAAATAAATATGAAAATAATAAATTTAGTTTAAAAAATATTAAAATCTTAAATAAATTATAAATAAACTATTAGATTTATTTTAGTGATTTATATGTTGTCATATTCTCAATTGGCCTAGATGTAAGTTCTCACTTATCTGTTTATATATTTTTTATCATTAACTATAATATATATAATATTATGATTGATTACTAAATATTAAATTTAGCTTATTGGTTAAGGTTTGTTTGGCTACTAATTCATTTTGAGTTCAAATCCAATTAAGTTATTTTATTTATTTTTGTCTAAACTTGAACAAGTTATATAACATATGTATTATCTCAATAACAAGCGTGAGAATTTTCTCAATGGTTAAGGCATGAGTAGGTTACCCTTGGGTTTCAAAACTCATCTTTATTTATTTTCACTTCAATTCAAAATGTGACATGCGTCACATTTTTATTGGATTAAAATTTTATTAAATTAATTAAATTAAAATTAAAAAAACCCTCTAATCAGATTATGACACATTGGAGAAATAAATTTATTAAATTAAATTGAAATTAGGACCTAATTAAAAATTAAGAATCAAAGTTAATCTTGGTGGTCAAATTGATTAATTCTAAAATCTAGGGGATTTAATCTATAAATTTAATACATGCCTAGAATAAAATATTTTAAAGTTAATGCACAAATTAAGGCATTAGAAAAATTAAAAATAGAATCAGGATCACATTGCATTAAATGAAAATCCAAAGAAACAAATCATATACAAGTAGTGATCAAAATGGAAGAAAACAAAGTCGGGTTCAAGTGCCACGAATACGTAACTTTACAAGGATCTGCGACCTAATTATACCAATTTGTTAACTTCCATGTAAACACTCCCATTAAATGTTAACGACAGATGGCTATATTGAAAATATTTAAATAATTTAGTGGTCATATTAACGCAAATTT